TGGAGGTTCTGGTTTTTTAGGAACTTCAATGTGTATTTTTTCTTCTGAAACCACTTTCTTGGGCACCTCAGGCACTTTAAAGAAATTAATTAATTTTATTTTTATGCATATCAAAGATATGTCTGTAGTGTTCAGACAGCAAGATAAAGTAAATCTCAGGGACATGAAAAGCATCAGTGATTTTGTAGGTGAACATGTAATTTTGCTTTGCCTACAGGAAATTCTCTCTGCTGCCTCACTGAGGTACAGATACAAAAACTACAATTCAAGTAACAAAAATATTTTATAATACATTTGTAGTAAAAGTAAATTACCACCATGTTGAAATGGTACCCTAGACAATTAAGGGGTTTTCTTGTGTACAGCAGTTACTTTTAGTCAGTGGAAGTTCTGGTTTCTTTGACACTCTAACTGAAGCCTTTTCAGGGAACACTTTCTTCGGTACCTCAGGTACATGAAAAATATCAATAACTTTATACTATGAGAATTAACAACATTAAAGCATAACAGCAGGTCACTATTAGTGAAAACACCAACTACAAAGAACAATTTTTTTCACAAAATACATTTTTTCACTTGAATAAACTTTCACAATGAAAGAAAATGCTAACAGAGGTCTTAAATACTGTCTTCTATATTGTTAAAACAATAAAAGAGTGATTTTTCTGATTCTGTTACTTTTGTCATAATGTCAAGTATCTTTAGCTGGTGTAACTTCTGGCTTTTTAGGCACAGGAACTTTGATTTTTTTGTTCTACAACTACTTCCTTGGGTCCTTCAGACCCTTTAGGAGAGAGAGGACTTTCAACTATTATATGGAATTTTACCGTTCTGTTCAAAACTTTTCAGTAGAATTGCAAATTTTCTTACTAGAGCTTTTGAATTGACATATTTATTGCCTTAAGGTTATTTTATGCCCTTGTATGATCTGAGGAGACACCTCAAAGCCTTCTGGAGTGTTTCCTTCTACACTAGATTATTTTTCTGTTTTATTCAAGCATTTCCTGGATCTCTATTTCCCTTAGACTGGCACTGTCCATTTTGCATTCCTTGTCACATTCTTCTATATGTGATGACTTCATGATATCAATTTTTCATCTATGCATGGAGAGTTTTCTGCTCTATTAGACATCTGTATCACTATCCTATACTCTTTTTTGGGGCTAATTTTTCAATGTCCATCAGGAGTATTTCACATGACAGAGGTCTCTTTTCTCCTCTTCTCTTAAGATTTCTGCTGTTGTTTGCAAGTGTCAGTCCCATCTCTGCCAACCACATCAATATTTCTAACATACTGGTACACTGATTACAGCTATGAATCAGAAAAGAAGAATTTTCAAAGCAGTAACATATATAGAACTGGGGGCACAGAAAATGAAAGTAACAGGAAAACACAAACAAACAAATAACTAATCTGCACAATCAAGACAGAGGTTTTTTTCCTCTTCCAAATTTTAGTTTTCTGTAGTGCAACATACCTTTGGCTGGTGGTGGTTCTGGTTTTCTAGGGACAGCGGTGGCTACTTTCTCTTCTGGAATTTTCTTGGGCACCTCTGGCACTTTAAAGAAAACAGCATTCAATTTTTAATATTTAAATCGTTTAAAATTACTAAGAGGAAAGAGCATCACAAGAACCACATCAGAAAGAAAAGAAACAAAAGATAGAAAAAGAGAGATGACATGCAAAAAAAAATTGTATACTGTTACATACTACTAGGATCTTTATAAATTAGTTTTACTATAAACACTAATGTCCAAGAGAAAGAGAAATCTCCTCAGAACGCCATCATTATTGACATATAAGATTTAGATAGTGTTATTCTTGGCTTTTCAGGCACAGCAGCATTTATTGATTTCTTAGGTATTTGGACACTTTAAAGAAACTAGTGTAGTTTTAAAAATTACAAAAATAAAGCATCAAATACAAAGAAATAAGACAAAACAAATAGACGTATAAGGATGCTTTGACAACAGTTACAAATTCTGAAGTCTTCATGGTTCTATCTCTCTGTCAAAGAACAAGTTTGAAGTGACTTTTGTCATGTAGTGGGGACATGCCACACAAATTGCTCGTTCAGACAGAACTTTTGCAATACCTGAATGAATTGTAACAACTGGTTTCTGTGCCAATTCTATTTCAAAATTAAACCCATTGACCCCTAAGTTTAACATGAGCAGTGTGAAAGAGCAAGTACATATACTTCTTGCTGGAGTATTGATAGAATTTCTGAGGCTGCTTGTAGTAACCACAAAAAGAAAATATTTGTTCTGTAAATCTCCCTGCGTGTTAACTGAGCCAGAGTTTTCCTTATTTCTAGTCCCTTTTTGCCTAGTTTCTGATACAACTTTGAGATTATTTTTGGGTACAAGAAATAGATAAACTCAACTAATTTTTAATGTTTTGACAACAGCAATACAAAGGACAGATGAAACTTGTAGAGAAAGGAGTTTGGCAGATGGAGCTTCTGCCTTTTTAGGCAGGACAGGTTTTTCTTCAGTAATAGTTTCCTTGTGCAATTCACACACTCGAAAGGTATTTACTGATTTTAATTTTATGAATTAGACACAAATTAACAAAGAGACAAAGGGACATATACAACATAAATGTCAGAAATCTGACACAAGTGGACCATGAACTATTAAATCAGAAACCATGTAAGAAACAGTAAAGGCATTTATCAGCAAAAGACCTCAGTTCTACTAGGCTCTCAGAGTACCTTTAGATGGTGGAGATTCTGGTCTTTCAGGCACAGGAGTAGGCTCTGGTTTTTTAGGCACAGGAGTAGGCTCTGGTTTTTTAGACACAGGAGTAGGTTCCGGTTTTTTAGGCACAGGAGTAGGCTCTGGTTTTTTAGACACAGGAGTAGGTTCTGGTTTTTTAGGCACAGGAGTAGGTTCTGGTTTTTTAGGCACAGGAGTAGGCTCTGGTTTTTTAGACACAGGAGTAGGTTCCGGTTTTTTAGGCACAGGAGTAGGTTCTGGTTTTTTAGGCACAGGAGTAGGTTCCAGTTTTTTAGGCACAGGAGTAGGCTCTGGTTTTTTAGGCACAGCAATAGGCACTTCTTCTGGAAGAGTTTTCTTAACGACCGTAGGCACTTTAAAGATATTAGTTCATTTTAGGGATAGAAAGATAAATCATAAAAAATCCCAAGTTTTTCATATAAGTAGGGTACTAAAAGAATGAATACAAATATTAATTACTTTGAACAAGAACTAAACTATGAACATGAATAATTTAATTTTCCTGGAGTTCATGACTTGCTAAACTGCAGGAAGAGATGATGAAGATATATACCTCTAGATGCTGGAGCCTCCTCTTTTCTATGAACTGTAGAAATTTCTTCTTCTATGTGCATCTCCTCATACACTTCATGTACTTAAAAGATATTAGTTTAAACACTTAAATTAGAATATATTCAGAAAACCAGACAACATATAAGATAAAGAACAAATATGAACAAATATTCAAGCTCCTCTTAAGACATTTTATATCCACCAGCAAAATTAGGGTGCTTTCAAATAAAGAATGAAAAAAATCTCTTATGCTAACCTGATATGACTTCTGCAGCTTGTCAAGAGAAAGATGTGTGATATGTCCTAAACTGAGCTACTACCTTGAGCGCAAGAGATAGACCTTGTCTATCTAAACTCTGTCACTTTTAATTTTTTTTTTAACCTTTGAGCTGACTTCAAGTAGCAGCTAATTTTCTTCTCAAGAACAATTAATTTTATACTGTTGCAGCTAAGCAAAGCTGTTAAGTAAACTTTAGTTCATGATAAACAGAATGCTCTCAAAATAATTAAAAAATTATGTACGAAAACATTTTTTATCCTTCAAATCCCACTCAAAATTTATTGTACCTGTAAACTGTGAAGGTTCTTCTTTAGGTGGAGCGGGAGGTATTTTTTCTTTGTGGACAGCTTTCTTTGGTACTTCGGGAACTTAAAAATATTGGTTTATTTTAGAAATTTGCACTATGAAATAAGTAACACAGTTTTGTAAAACAATACAAAATTCTACTAGAATAATATGAAAAATACACCCTATTAAACTGTGAATAAAATACAAAAACTTTGTCTTCTGGAGTTCATTATTTTTCTTACTCCTAGCACTTCCAGGTCTGATACACTCTTCCCTGAAAAAATAGTAGGGGTTTTTATGGTTTGGTTTCTTATTAATTTGTTTGTTTTTCCTGTTTTTTTTTTTTTTTCCTGTGGTTTTTTGTTCGTTGGTTGGGTTTCGTGTGTTTTTTTGCGGATTTTTGTTGTGGAGTTTTTGTTTGCTTGATAGGGGTTTCTGTTGTTTTTGTTTGTTTGGGTTTTTGGTTGGGTTGAGTTTTTCTAAGGAATTTTGGCAATCTAAAGGAGTTTATTTTTTGAAATTTCAAAATTACCCATAGAAGCAAAGCAAAACTCCAGTGCAATTAAGTAATTATTATGCTTCCAACGTCTATAGAGTCCTTTAGTGCTGGACTTCTATTACAAAAATTATGTTTCTATGAAAAAACTTTAGTGGCTCTGTATTTTTCCCAATTTAAAGTATTACCTTAATCTTGACTTTCCTAATGTCCCAGGTACGACTGCAAAGAGTCCTTCTACAAACAAGCCTCTGCCACAACCTTTTAGACTTTTTCTAATATATTGTCAGAGAAAGTATTTTAGGAAATAAAACATGACACATGAAGTCAAAAAAATATAAGGCTAATCCCTGGCTCTACTAATAAGCTTCCTGTCTACTAAATATCTTTGTCTAATTTAGTCTCTCTAAATCTTGAATTCTTGGGGCAGAATGTATCAATCTGTTTGAGCAGCTGCTAACAAAAGACAAAAATAGGAACTATAAGGTGTCTAGGACACCTTGTTGTATTTAAGAAAAACAAGCAAGTTGGGTTTCTCACTTGGTACTTTTAAAAGAGGTTAGAGAAAATCCATTTGGAGGACTTGTACCTTTAGCTGGAGGAGTTTCTTCTGTAGGTACAGCAGCAGATATTTTCTTAAGTGGGACAGTTTTCTTTGTCACTGCAGATACTTCAAAGATATTACATTTTTTAAAGAACATTATAATATACAAAGTGTAAGTAACAAAGAAGCAATGACAGACACATAGTGCCTAAGGAAGCATGAGAATGAACACATTTAATAACGGATTAGCACACAGATGGAATGATGAAGATGAATAACTAATTTGTAGGGAATGTGTTGTTTTACATTGCTTGAAGAGTTGGTGTACCTTTAGCTGCTGGAGCTTCTGGTTCACTAGGAATAATAAAAGGGACTTTTTCTTCTGTTGGAGCTTCTCCAAAAACTTCAGGTTCTTTAAAGATATTAGTTTATTTTACATATTTTAATATTAATTACAAGACAAGAGTAGAAAGACAACTTGTAATGCTAAAATGCAGACATGCATATGGACAAAAAGCTGTTTGAACATAAGTTATTCAAATATCTCATTTCAGCCTAATCATTTACCTATGTCTGCTAGAAGTGACTACTTCCAATCCATAAAATATAAGTTTACAGAAATGTTTAAATTTATTTTCTAATTACTTAATTCCAGGTATTAGATAGACTTTGTAATTGAATTTCATATGTCCTTGTTTGGAGTTAACTATATGTATCCCAGCTCAAAAATTAGTTGTTGCTTAGAATGGCCCTTAAACCTTTGTCTTTGCTCTAGTGTGACTGAAGTGTTTCCTGGATCAGAAATTTAGTTTCTCTCTTATTTACCCTTTTTTTCTCACACTATCACAGGAGAAAAGTCTAGCATTTTTAGAATGCTAAACTCCATTTAATTTAAATTTAAATTTTAAAATGCTGAACTACATCTAAATTTGGGGAGAGAGTTGGTTTAAAAGACATGGATGTAAGTTACTTCTAAATATTTTTAAAAATTAATTGAAAATATCTCATATTTTACAGAACACTATAGAGCATGAATTGATATATTCTCTATTTAATATTTGGTAGATGTGTCATTGGTGTACCTTCATAGAAAGGAGGCTCCTCTTCTCTAGGGATAATGGTGGGTACTTTTTCTTCAAGGACAGCTCTCTTATGAAACTCAGGAACTTCAAAGATATTAGCTTTCTTTTAGTAACCTCAAAATAATTTTCCATTTTTAATATCCCAAACAGAAATAAACCCAGAAAACTAAGTCCCTTTGAGATCTCGAATACCGTGCCTTTTTGAGAATGAAGTACAATACAGTTCTAGAATTGTCTTGATGGAACAGTGAATTATGTGAAGAAATTTACAGTTTCTGCTCTCAAAGAGTAGAATCCATTTGCTTTCCTCACTGAATTGTCATGCTTTTTCTTCTGATAGGTGTAACAGGTTTAATGTCTTAAACTTACTGGCTCTTGCCCTATTACTTCACCAGTTTCATGACCCATGTAGTGGTTTCAAAACCCCAGTTTAAACTAAATTCACAACTATCCAAATATAAAAGCATGGAAGGTTTACATACTGGTGATATAACTAGAAATACCTCCTCAGTGTGTTTTCATTCATAATTCAAGGATTTACTGTCTAGCATGTCTGAAATGTTTGCCTCAGAATTTACAGAGTCAGCTCTCACTGAGAGCTCAATCTCCACTCGAGACTGGGTACTCTTGCAATGGTGTAAAGGACACAACAATCATTTTAAAAGATGTTAGCTAGGAAAAATGGCTCAAATATTTCCATAAGATCTCATATCAAAGCCTCCTTTACCTTTCTTTGGTGGAACTTCTATTTCAGGTGTACGTGCAGGTTTCTTTTCTTCAGGGACAGTTCTTTTGAGAACGTCTGGCCCTTTAAGATATAATTTACTTTTAGGGCTTTCAAAGCTATTTGGAAGAAGTTAGAAAGAAGAAGGGCAAATCTAACAAGAAAGATTCTTGAAACATCAAAGAATTAAATACTTCCTGAAAGAAATCTATGTTAATTCTGAAGATTAGACAAAAGAATAATGTTTAAAAATATATATTCTTGAAATATTCATTTTCAGAAGAAATAAAAATATTCTTTCTCTCAGAACTAATTTCATGTGCAGCTTAATGAAAAAACACCCATTTTTTAAAGTGACCCTCACATGTTTTCAACAAATTACTTGAAACTAACAGGCAAAAAATATTCAATCACAAACAGATGAAAAAAACACTGTGGGGACATAAAACACATGCAGGTTTCTCAACAAATAATGAGGACAGAAGACTGAAATTAGAGTTCATATACCATGAGGACAACACAGAGGAAGTATACCTTTAGCTGGTGGAGTCGTCTCCTTTTTAGGAACAGCAGGTGGTACTTTTTCTTTTGGAAGAGGTTTCTTTGGCACCGCTGGCACTTTAAAGACATTGGTGTTTTTTTAAGAATGTTTGCAATATGAGCAACATGCAAGAACAGAAGTTAAACAAAAAGCAAGCCATGCAAAGAGTCAGAAATCTTAGCAAAACACAAATACATATACATATAATACATATATACATGTATATAATACAAAATAGGTCATCTGTTAGGACCATTTTGCTTGGATTCACATAGCTAGAGTTTTAGTATTCAGTGAAAGAAAAACACTGCTCCTGTTGGGTAAATGTTTGACTAGGATAAGCCTCAACAATTAGTTTCATGAACTATCAGCTCTAAATAATGGCAGCTGGGAATAAAGTAAGGTTTTAATTTCCTATCGACTAAGTGCAAGCCTGTCTGTAAAAACAAACAAACAAGCAAGCAGATCCACTTTTGCCCACTGACTTAATTCTGAGAATTCATATGAGAAACAACTTTAAAACTTATCATGACATGAATTCTGGCAAAATGAGTGCTATGAACAGAAAATTACAAAACTCTGGACTAGTACAGTAACTGTACTAGCATCCACTGATGGTTGCTATTCATGACACTTAGGTTTTGTAAAGCCTGATACAGAGAACAGCTGTTAAGATTGCATACAGTCCAGCACATCATTAGGTTAAGGAAAGTTCTACTTTTTTAGGATTCTGCAGGAAAAAAGGGTTTCAATGATTAGCTATAAAAAGTCACATATTGTGATGGCAAAAATGAAATTTTGCCTCCAGGAAGTAATTTGTCTCAGTTTTGATGTGTTAAAGAGATACCTGTCTTTGATTGTACTGTAAAAGAAAGTTAAGAATCTAGCAGTAAACTCAGAATAGGTAAATTACTGGATTTGGGGATTCAGAGCCTCAGGCAGAAGATTTGTGTTTTCAAATGTATCTAATAGTTGAGGTACCTTTGGCTGGTGGAGCTTCTCTTTTAGGAGCAGGTACTTTTTCTTCTGGCAAAGGTCTTTTGGGCAACTCAGGCACTTTAAAAAATATTTCATTGTGGATTGTAAATTATTTATGATAATTTACACAGATACAACAGATATAAACACAGAAAACTAGGCAATCACACATAATTAATGTAGAAAAAAAGTGACTGGTAATATCAGAATTCTTGAACAAAAAAACTAAGGAATATCATCCTACATATTTTTGGTACACTGTAGATGCACTTTGTATTTGGCGTGAGGACTCATAATTTAAATGGTGGAATGGAATGTTCTACATGAGTTCCAATATCTCTGTAACTCAAAGGAACTAAATTGGGCAAAAAAAAATAATTCATGTTGAAGCTGAATTACATCAGAAAATTATAAATTTCTCTGCCTGTGTCATATCTACACTAACTCACTCTTGGGCAGTAAGGTGGGGAACCCTCCCATTTCACTCTGAAGGGAAGAATTCCTTAGGAAGGAGTAGGATAGAAATAGTCTTTGAACTGATTTATCATTACCAGCAACAGACAAGTACAGGACTACAAACAAGGCAAAATATAAATAAATATCCATAAGAGGCTTAAGCAGTAACTGGAAACAACACACGATAAGAACAAAGAAATCATGGCTTGATTTACCTATAGATGGTTGGATTTCATAAGCCTCCTCATATACCTCCTCATATTTCTCATAGATCTCTTCTTTCTCCTTAAACTCGTACTTTTCATAGACATCTTCCTCCTCGGCCTCCTCTGCA